TCTGGAACATTCTTGACGACGAAGCATCAATTTCGGTTGCGGTACCATAGCTAATAAAGTTCAACATTATTCTCTTGGCAACCTAATACATACTTAGTCATTTTCACTTCTATGCATATCATAGCACAGAACTTCACAGTCAATGTCCAAACTGACCGCGGCGGTCAACATGCATGCAGTCGTTTTCTTCTACATGCATAAAAAAGATATCTCATACTTTACCAAAAAAAACGGAACTATTCCGGCATTTTTGTCATTTATAAAGAGCAGACCATGCTGAAAAAGAGTTCTTGGTTGCTTTTTCTTCTTACAGCTCTTCATTATGCAACAGAATTCAGGAAACTTGTTGGAACGCATAGTTTGATACCCTTTTCTCGTTTTCTTAAGAAAAATGCATACCAATTTGACCCTCTGCATATTTATCAGGATTCAATTATAACTGGCTGCAAACACTTCGTTAAAATATTCTCTCGTTTTGATCATAAAACTTTCTGTCATAGAATTGTGCGGATACGGTTACTGATTTGGAATGAATTGCATATAGAGTTCTACAAAGATAAAGAAAAAGCTTGTCTTTGAATCTGCACTCATATTTGTGTTCAACAAGTATGTGTATTTGTATTCAGTAAACGCTTGAAACATAGATTATCGAAGGATTATCACAAAAGTAAGTGAAAGAAAGACTTTACGCGGAATAAGCATATTAAATTGTTGAAGCAAGCTCATTATGCGGTCTTGTATGAAACGTTCCTCCAACAAACTGTGTTCTTGATGGGCAATGAGAAATGTTGTATTATGATAATACAAGCCTTTAGGGAAAGGATGAAGAGGAGAACTACGACATTTTCGGCTTCAGTGATGGAGAAATTGTTATCGTTATCCAAATAAGTCAAGAAAGCGAATTATGGAGAAATGAAACATTTTTGAGTAGTGACTGCAGGCAATGGAGGACTCAGAAAATGTAGGGGGGGGGGGCAAATCGCAAAAATTTTGAAATTTATTACTTGAGTTATTAAAATGTGCAAGTGGATGGTTCATACTCCTAGATACTTAGAATGACTTTGTGGCGGCTTTTAGGCGTACGGGTGGCGCCTTTGAGAAATGGGCTAAGGGTGGGCCCGTACGAATGTAAAACACAACAAAGATGATATTAGAGAGTTTAGAGGAGCTCAACCGCACGCGGTGGTGCAGTGGTAGAATAATGTGATAACAGGCGGAGACAAAAATATTCTATGCGCACGCTTATATCATATAAGGTCACCAAATGGTGACCTTAACGGTGCTTGCACGAAAAACAACGTAACGAGCGATACGGATGAAACGGGTGCCGCTAATATCGGCACACTCCGGGGCGACAAACAACAATACAAGAGAGCAGAGATACAGCGATGAAATAAAAAGTGAATAGAAGAAATTAAGCATGAACAGAGTGGGGAGAATCACAGAAAAAAGTAATTACGGCTCCTTCGTTGTTGCAGTCCTTGTCGTTGGGGTCCAGCGATCGAGCGGGTGATTGGCAGTAGATTAGGGGGTGAGAAATACATCTGGGGACGATGACGTGGCGTTAACTTGTTTGATCCTGACCAACGTGAAGAGATATTGCACCTGATGAAGACCAAAGCTAAAGTAAATATAATTATTGATTTCTACAAGTCTGTCTAGCGCATTGCACGAGCGCTTTAGCCACCTTCAGCAGGGCACATAGTAGGTACGCAATTGCACCAAAAACCAATTTTATCACAGTAAGGATAACTACTGGCCCAAATAGATAGGTGAGGCCTGCTGCTGCAAGTGCAGCAACTCCAGCGGCCGCAAAGGCTTTCCAATGGTTCTGTATGACCATTATCAGTGGGTGGAGGTCTGGTACATGTATGTCATAGATCATGTCCAACCAGCTCATGGGTTTTTGGTCTTCTTCGTTAAACTTGAACACGGAATCATGTTTAGAGTGGTGGCAGAACAGCGTTCCATTTAACGGCAGGACCCATTCTCGGTCGCCACAGTTTGCATGGCACTTTCGCTGAACTACGGCGGAATCGAGATGCAGCAACATCATGGTTGACGGCTTTCTTGGACCACATCGGACAGAAAATGAGATCTCGTCGCATGAAATAGTGATCTCTGTAGGATCTTTCGACAAGCATGTCACATTTATTTTGGCCCCTGGTAGACAAGTGTAACACCCAGCTATGTTGCTCATTCTGATGTCACATTTTTCTTCGTAGACAAATTCAGCGCTGTCGAGCAGGATGTTCGATTGGACTGTCACAATCGTCTCAATGTCCTTGACAAGGGCTGACAGTGCCGAGCCGTTGGAATGAATTTCTACGGAGGGGGCCAGCAGGGGTAATCGATTACTGCTGTCATCTTCTACAGTACGCAAAGAGTAATCTGGACAGTGGCAATGATGCTTGGTCCAGCCTGTATTGCAATCGCAAATTATTTTGTTGACGCAATTCTTGAAGTTGTTCAATGCTTCATTCCGTGTCGCACACTCGACCGGCAGCCTGAAGTCGTCGGGTAGAATGACTGAGGTGTCGCTTGACAGTGCGAACCTTCTGTTCAGCACTGGTAGGTGCGAACTCTGTACAGATGTGGCAGTGATATTGAATCCTCGCAATTTGGCCGTTATGTACGGAGTCAAGGCAATGCCCTCTTTTCGGGTTACTTGTGACAAGCTACTCTCCACTTCGATGTGCAGTGATGGTGTCCATTCACTGCATCGTATAATTTCATGCACCGTTCCGAACACGGGTATATGGGCGACCTTATAGAAGGTGCAGGAGGGGAATGGCAGGAGGCAGCCGCAACTCATCCCTCCGCAAGTGTATTGACAACCAATGTATCCTGGAAATTCTCTTGCTTGCGACAGCTCTGGAACAGTATCGTTACGACTGATCGTGTCGCACATATTTCCGTAGCAGGAGCCTGCTTGGGAACATCTGACAGCTGAGTACACCCGGTGAACCGTGCTTCTGGTGTACGTTATCGATTCTTTAGAGCAGGTTAGACTTGTGGCTCTTAACTTTATCTTCAGCAGACCGACCGTTCTGTTCTGGTGGCGGACCTCAATGCAATGTTCATTCTGGATCCTGTTGAACAGGACTCATATCCACGAAAGTCCATAATGGAGGAAAATGGACTTACTCAGTCCATTTTATTCGTTCGCGTTAGAAAGTGGTCGAAATCGGCTTCCGCTTACGATATCCAAAATTTTTCATCCCATCGCAACCGCGAGGCAAAGCGGTGAAATGAAAATTCAAGCTTAGTTGAGCTATCGCTCGCGGAAGATGACGTCAAAAGTCCATTTAATGGGACAAAATGGAGTTCACCTCCATGTTCATTCTCTCTCACCTTTCTGATAAGCCCATTTTACTCCCAGCAGCCAGATGTGCTGGGGCTAAGCCCATTTTTGATATTCTTGCATATTTTTGATTGCGATTTTTTGAGAATATGTTCCCTAGCCCATTTTGAGATACTAAGCGAACGGAGAAAGTTTTATCTTCTTGAGGAGAATCAAAAAACTATCTTTTCCACACAGCCTTGAAATGCTTTGAAAATCATAGAAAATTTTTTTTCGTAGACAGTTGAGACAGACAGACACAAAGACGGCAATTCAAAATTCGCGATTTTGAGTTTGGTAGCAAGAAGTACTGAAGTACCGCTAACAAGTCAGAATATTCTGTGGAAAATTTCTTACTAGCTATAGTCTATACATTAGTCACTTCTTGCTCTCGCATGGAAATATAAAAAAATCGCGATTTACTAAAGTTAAGCAAGTCATTTTATAGAGAAAATCTTCTCGATACGTCATTTTGTCACCGAAAACACTTTTCAATACCCAAAACGTCAAAGCATCTGTTTTATTTTCGAACATAGAGCATCACATTAGGGTTGAGAAAAAAGGTTACCTGATTGATACTGGATTATGCGAGAGCTTTTCCAACAACCGGTGAATTTGAATTCTGTTCAAAATCTATAATAAGGTTGCCAATAGCAAAAGGCATTGGTTCAAGCATTCCCTATATGCTGAGACGGATATAGGTCCGCTTTGCTTCAGTTGTTCGTAGCACTTCCCCTGAGCAACTTCGATTATCAAAAGCACATATGACTTGGGATCAGAGTATATGCCTAGATAAGCTCTAAACGCAAAATTGAATTCAGTGACTTTGTCATCATTCTGGTATCCACCCCTCAAACTCACACAGTTGATGCAAGAAAAACAGCTTCACATATCAAACGCCATATTTGCATGAAAGTTTTGGGGTTGCTAAAGTACAGCATGAGAAGCCATCAATTTTTTGCAGATCCAAAGTTTTTCCAGCTTAAAAGCCTTTGTGTTGTAGTGTAGTACAAGGTTTTCTGTGAGATAAGCATTTTGGTTCACAAATTGCAATGCAAGTCTAGCCAAAGTTTGCTTTCTGCTGGAAACTCCACATACGAATTTGATTCAATGCTGATTCATAGAAGTTTTGAAGAGCGAATGCCCTGATATTACTTGGATTTTAGATGGACTAAAACTAATTTAGATGCAAAGTCATAGTTAATAAATGGCATTCTATGAGGTGTAATGAAATGGAAAAGAACGGAGTATCCACGTGACTGATATAGTAAAGTTAGATCAGCCTAGATATCGACCACTTGGTGGGAATGAGTTTGCAAGAGTGAGTAAACAGGTTGAGGCAAGTTGAAGAAAGGTTTGCTGAAGCATTTTTGTATGGAATGAATGGATTCGCGAAGGCGATATCTTATCGCACCGCAGGGACTAAGCCCATTTTATTCGCGTTTCATTCGCGAAAAGCCCATTTTTAAATGGACTTTCGTGGATATCATTCCAGGAGTTCTCTGCTGAGCTCCAAGTTGCAGTTGTTGTTCTGACTGCATACAATATTGGTACTATATCGGGTAAAACCATGTTGGCATGCATCCACCGCATTCGTTCCTGCCAATACTGCAATACACAATGTGATTACTAACCCACCGCTCAACGGAGTCGGGATTCAAGGAATGTAGCTGGACATTTTCTCGAGGTACATTGATAGAGTATGCATTTTGCATGGTGCAGGACTCTTACGGGTGATTCTGATAAGTGATAACATTCCCCACAGTGATATGAGAATCAGCATACTAATTACGTAGAAGATCATGGCAACGGTTATAACAGCACCAACCGGCCAACAGTTTGGGTTCCCTAGCAATGATATGCTAAGTAGTGATCTTGATACTGCACAGAAGTCAGGATTTGAGCACATCAGGGCATAGTCGGTGGGTGTTTCATCTTCAACATATTTTATCGCAACTTTGGTGTGCGATTGCGTGGGTGACGGCGGTAGCTTGTAAGTGTGTATCCCATTGGAGCCGAGGAATGTTTTACACTCGGAATTGAAACAAAGTTCATACGAGGTGTTCCGTTCCCGTATATCGACTACGCCTTCTCGACATGTTGCATGATGGGCACTGGATGGAGATATCAGAGCAGCGATCATTACAGTAAGTAGCATCGCAGTTTTTATCGATCCATTGGCTACTTTGGAGTTCCGTGCGGGTGGCAACACTTGTGACCCTTGCTTGGCGTTAGTGCTTGATTGTGACTGAGTTTCCTCGAGGCTTTCTTCGAAGTTTCTGATGACATCATAAGCCCTTGTCTTTGCCGAACGAGGCAGAGCACGCCGAGTTGCGATTTCTTCGGTTGTGTCGTGAGTCAGTGCATCTCTAGAATCCTCCTCTGATTGGGAACGGATTTCTAGTGGGTACAGTTTGCTTATTGGTCTATGTAGGGTGCCACCGTTGGGAGTAAGGGCTTTCGCGGTCCTAATGAGACCGTCATTGCTACTGATTACTTCAACTATTTTGCCGTAGGACCAGTTCCCTCTTAGTAGCATATCATGTTCAATCAAGACAATCTCGCCTTTCTCTGGGACGGTTCTCGAGATATGTCTATGCTGTTTCAGAAATTGCTTCTGAGACTCACGCAATGTTGTGATGTATTCTGTGCGCCACTTCTCCCAAAATTTGGACGCTATTATTTCCGAGGCAGAAATGGCTTCAATGGCCTGCTTTCTAGTCTGTAAAAGTTCTGGCTCATATGAGGGGTCTTCAGCGTTTTGTGATTCTGCTGAATCCTGGAGTGAGTATTTCACGTTCCCTTGAAGGAATTCAATTGATCTGAACGGAATTTCCACAAGTCTGTGGAACTCAGTTTTGTTAGTGGGCGTGTGTTCAAGACTGCTTCTATAGAAGCGACCGCCGTACTGAACTCAGTGAAACTTAGTTTCTTTCTGCCAACCAACTTTCTCAAGCATCGCTTAACCGAACCAACGAGTCGCTCCCAAACTCCGTCCATCCAAGGGCTGGCTGGTGGATTGAATAACCATCTGATACCATTTGTGGCACTGTAACTCATGACGGATTGCGCCTCGTATTCACAAGGTTTAGAGAGTTCTCCGATGATTTTGGAACCAAGGCGGAAATTTGTTCCGCAGTCGGAGCGCACTAGTTTCGGAACACCTCTTCTTGATACAAACCGTATGAATGAGTTCAGGAATGCTCCAGCTGATAGTTTTCAACTACTTCCAAGTGGACTGCTCTAGTAACTAAGCAAGTGTGAAGGGCAATATACATGTTGTCCCCATTCTTGGAACAAAACGGACCGATGTAGTCGCAACCAACATTACTAAATGGTTTTGTGACCATCACCCTATCTGTTGGTAATGAGGGCATTTGTGGAGAACCAAATGGCAGTCCATTCCAACGCTTACAGACCGCGCACTTTTTCAAGTAATACTTGAATGATCCAGATGCACGCGGTATCCAGTATTTTTGCCGTGCCAGCGATAACGTCTGGTCTTTAACGCAATGGAAATTATGGCAGTGCATATCGATCAGAACCAGTCGGGTCATCTCGCTTCTGCTTGGCAGAAAGATGGGAGATTTTGTATCGATTGGTATTGGGGCATGTTGCAATCAAGAAATGTGTCTGATTACACCGTATTTGTCGCGAACAATGTTCTTGTTTCTGAGCCTTCTACTAAGCTCATCTGCATCCACATTCTTGTGAATGTCTGCGTAGAGAACGATTTCTGCTGCTTTGATATCGTCAGCAGTTATATCGAAATTTGTACCGAATTTGGTTACGTGGTGGATTTCTATCGGAGAATGTCTCTTCTCGTTCACTTTTGCTACCACCCGGTGTAGGCATTTTCCTACGCGTGCTACCATGCGCAACGCAATTGACAGCTTTGATATTCTTGACAAATCAAAGAGTTGTTCTTCTTGAGGTGGACAGTCTTGCACAGCAGCTATTGTAGTGGGCTGTCCCGACTCTTTGGGCATTTCCTGAGCTTGGATTTCAGCGATATCTCTCAAGTAGGTTATGTTTGGATAGTCGCGCAACCATGCTGGTCCACGCACCCAATGATGGTCTTGGATCTGATTTTTGGTCAGACCTCTGCTGCCAGCGTCAGCTGGGTTGTACGACGTCGGGACATGGTGGTAGTGCACTCTGATGCCTCGCGTTTCGAATCACATCTTGAGGTCACGTACAATACCGCTCTCAGAACGTGCAAAATTTCCGTGAATGTCGCGGAAACCCCGGAATTCCGCGAAGGACCGCGAAATATTCGGAATATCGCGACATTTTCGGAATTTCGCGACATTCCCGGAATGTCGCGAAATTCCGGAAATGTCGCGAAATTCCGAAAATTTCGCGGAATTTTCGGAATACCGCCATAACCTCCTTCGGAAGGCACAAATTCTAGATCTGAAACAAGAATTATACTCAGCTCATTAAGGCGAATCTTTTGGTACCTTGCCTTACCGTAATTCTCGGGGCACGATTGGTGCACGATCTGAGATGAATTTTGCATTTTGGGAGAGAGGACGTGGATGTACGGCAGCAAGTGAATGCTTTTGCGATTTTTCTGAAATTCTAGGGAGGGGGAAGGGGGGAGGAGTAATCAGTGGTATTGGGTGTGGTTAGTTCTGAAATATGCGAACATGCCGTGATGATGCCGTCGATGTTGTTTTTCCCCTCTTCTGTTTGTTTAGTAGTTCCAAGCACCTATTTATTACTAGAAGGGGTGGATTCGAGTACAGGACACGAATATTGTGTTCACCTCCCCTCTCCCAAAATGCAAAATTCATCTCAGACCGTGCACCAATCGTGCCCCGACAATTACGGTAAGGCAAGGTACCAAAAGATTCGCCTTAATGAGCTGAGTATAACCCTTGTTTCAGATCCAGAATTTATGCATTCCGAAGGAAGTTATGGCGATATTCCGAAAATTCCGCGAAATTCCCGGAATGTCGCGAAATTCCGAAAATGTCGCGATATTCCGAAAATTTCGCGACATTCCCGGAATGTCGCGAAATTCCGGAAATGTCGCGAAATTCCGAAAATTTCGCGGAATTTTCGGAATACCGCCATAACTTCCTTCGGAAGGCACAAATTCTAGATCTGAAACAAGAATTATACTCAGCTCATTAAGGCGAATCTTTTGGTACCTTGCCTTACCGTAATTCTCGGGGCACGATTGGTGCACGATCTGAGATGAATTTTGCATTTTGGGAGAGAGGACGTGGATGTACGGCAGCAAGTGAATCCTTTTGCGATTTTTCTGAAATTCTAGGGAGGGGGAAGGGGGGAGGAGTAATCAGTGGTATTGGGTGTGGTTAGTTCTGAAATATGCGAACATGCCGTGATGATGCCGTCGATGTTGTTTTTCCCCTCTTCTGTTTGTTTAGTAGTTCCAAGCACCTATTTATTACTAGAAGGGGTGGATTCGAGTACAGGACACGAATATTGTGTTCACCTCCCCTCTCCCAAAATGCAAAATTCATCTCAGACCGTGCACCAATCGTGCCCCGACAATTACGGTAAGGCAAGGTACCAAAAGATTCGCCTTAATGAGCTGAGTATAACCCTTGTTTCAGATCCAGAATTTATGCATTCCGAAGGAAGTTATGGCGATATTCCGAAAATTCCGCGAAATTCCCGGAATGTCGCGAAATTCCGAAAATGTCGCGATATTCCGAAAATTTCGCGACATTCCCGGAATGTCGCGAAATTCCGGAAATGTCGCGAAATTCCGAAAATTTCGCGGAATTTTCGGAATACCGCCATAACTTCCTTCGGAAGGCACAAATTCTAGATCTGAAACAAGAATTATACTCAGCTCATTAAGGCGAATCTTTTGGTACCTTGCCTTACCGTAATTCTCGGGGCACGATTGGTGCACGATCTGAGATGAATTTTGCATTTTGGGAGAGAGGACGTGGATGTACGGCAGCAAGTGAATCCTTTTGCGATTTTTCTGAAATTCTAGGGAGTACGCTGGGTTGATACCAGTGCTGTGGTATTGGGTGTGGTTAGTTCTGAAATATGCGAACATGCCGTGATGATGCCGTCGATGTTGTTTTTCCCCTCTTCTGTTTGTTTAGTAGTTCCAAGCACCTATTTATTACTAGAAGGGGTGGATTCGAGTACAGGACACGAATATTGTGTTCACCTCCCCTCTCCCAAAATGCAAAATTCATCTCAGACCGTGCACCAATCGTGCCCCGACAATTACGGTAAGGCAAGGTACTAAAAGATTCGCCTTAATGAGCTGAGTATAACTCTTGTTTCAGATCCAGAATTTATGCATTCCGAAGGAAGTTATGGCGATATTCCGAAAATTCCGCGAAATTCCCGGAATGTCGCGAAATTCCGGAAATGTCGCGATATACCGAAAATTTCGCGACATTCCCGGAATGTCGCGAAATTCCGGAAATGTCGCGAAATTCCGAAAATTTCGCGGAATTTTCGGAATACCGCCATAACCTCCTTCGGAAGGCACAAATTCTAGATCTGAAACAAGAATTATACTCAGCTCATTAAGGCGAATCTTTTGGTACCTTGCCTTACCGTAATTCTCGGGGCACGATTGGTGCACGATCTGAGATGAATTTTGCATTTTGGGAGAGAGGACGTGGATGTACGGCAGCAAGTGAATCCTTTTGCGATTTTTCTGAAATTCTAGGGAGGGGGAAGGGGGGAGGAGTAATCAGTGGTATTGGGTGTGGTTAGTTCTGAAATATGCGAACATGCCGTGATGATGCCGTCGATGTTGTTTTTCCCCTCTTCTGTTTGTTTAGTAGTTCCAAGCACCTATTTATTACTAGAAGGGGTGGATTCGAGTACAGGACACGAATATTGTGTTCACCTCCCCTCTCCCAAAATGCAAAATTCATCTCAGACCGTGCACCAATCGTGCCCCGACAATTACGGTAAGGCAAGGTACCAAAAGATTCGCCTTAATGAGCTGAGTATAACCCTTGTTTCAGATCCAGAATTTATGCATTCCGAAGGAAGTTATGGCGATATTCCGAAAATTCCGCGAAATTCCCGGAATGTCGCGAAATTCCGAAAATGTCGCGATATTCCGAAAATTTCGCGACATTCCCGGAATGTCGCGAAATTCCGGAAATGTCGCGAAATTCCGAAAATTTCGCGGAATTTTCGGAATACCGCCATAACTTCCTTCGGAAGGCACAAATTCTAGATCTGAAACAAGAATTATACTCAGCTCATTAAGGCGAATCTTTTGGTACCTTGCCTTACCGTAATTCTCGGGGCACGATTGGTGCACGATCTGAGATGAATTTTGCATTTTGGGAGAGAGGACGTGGATGTACGGCAGCAAGTGAATCCTTTTGCGATTTTTCTGAAATTCTAGGGAGGGGGAAGGGGGGAGGAGTAATCAGTGGTATTGGGTGTGGTTAGTTTTGAAATATGCGAACATGCCGTGATGATGCCGTCGATGTTGTTTTTCCCCTCTTCTGTTTGTTTAGTAGTTCCAAGCACCTATTTATTACTAGAAGGGGTGGATTCGAGTACAGGACACGAATATTGTGTTCACCTCCCCTCTCCCAAAATGCAAAATTCATCTCAGACCGTGCACCAATCGTGCCCCGACAATTACGGTAAGGCAAGGTACCAAAAGATTCGCCTTAATGAGTACTCTGCGTTGATACCACTGCTT